AAGTTTTAACCGTTATGAACAAGACTGCTAAGACTGCCTTGCAATGAATGTGGTTACTGCTAAGACCATTGTCCTGAGTGCCTTGCAATGGATGTGGTTGGCATGGCACATGTTCCCCACAGGTTCATGTGTTTTAACTTTTGGTCCCAGCAGATGGTGCCGTTTGGGGAGTTTATGGATATGAGGGGCTTGGCTGGAGGATTTGAGTCAGTAGAGATGGGCCTTGGAGATAGTGCGCGATTCTGGTTCAGCCTGAGCTCTCTACTTCCTGGCTGCTACGGGGTGTGGCTCATGACCACAAGTTACTATTGCTGTGCTCTCTGGCCCTGATGGACTGCATCCTCCAACTTCTCTCTTAAAATGCTTTTGTAAGACAGGTTATGATAACACGGGGAAAGTAACCACGCAGTGTAGGCAATGTATATCTCTGCACTGATATATAGGGAAGGACTTGCTTTATGGGACTATTCCTACAGCTTTATTTGAATTTTTGAGTTTTATTTGTGTCTTTCCTAGTAGAATTAATCTCTGCAAAGTTAAGTACTTGTTGATGCTTTTCCTTCTTTTTTAGAGAGAGAGAGAGAGAGAGAGAGAGAGAGAGAGAGAGAGAGAGAGAGTACACATACATATGTGTGTGTGGGGGTTTATGGAGGCTGGAGAAGGGACTGGATCTGGGGTTACAGGGGCAAGCGGCAAGTGTTCTGAACCAGCCCCTGCTTACACATTTCAGCTACTCTTTGTTGAAAGAAGAAGTGTGAAAGTCTGCACTCTGGGCTTCTAACTCCCCATTTGACTTGGTAGTTTTACTTCAGCTTGTCAGTCTCAGTCAAGGGCCATACTGTTTCTGTCGCACTTACTGCACATTCCAGGGAGCGAGCAACCCTGGGAAACCCTCCCACGCTTCCTGACTGGCCTTGCTCTGTTGCAACAGGACTCCCAGTCAGGGACCTGCAGAGCTTATGACCACCCCAGGCCAATTAAGTGTGCTCAGGAGTAGAGCTGCAAGGCTGGCGTCCAGCAGACCTCTGGGTGAGACCTCGTAGGACTCAGTCTTGGCTGGAATTCTGACACGGACGCGGCTAGTGCGTGTGCGTGCTTGGCGCAATGCCTGATGCAAAGCTGATGTTCACCAGGTACGTTACCGCCATGCATTTCCATTTAACTGCTTTTCCTATGCCGTTGATACCAAAGAGCCTCGGTTGTTACTTACCCAGTTAGGCCACTGAGTTCCCATCAAAAGGCTGGCACAGTGGGAAATCACTGGTGTCTAGTTTCTATGGGTCCAGTTCCGTTTGGAATAGGTGGATTATAAAACAAAACAACAACAAAAACCTTAATGAAAGGACAGTCAGCCAGTTTTCTGCAGAAGCAAAAACATATTGTGTAAGTGGTTCGTGCACCCTGACTTCCTTAGGAAGGCCATAGAGACCTCAGGTTGACACTTGCCCTTAATACCTGTAAACCAACCTCTTACTAACTGGCTTGTGGTGGGGTGCACCTGTGCCTTTCTACCAACCAAGCAGTGGGATATGGCAAGGATGGCCGGACATACAAGATCAGTGATTGTCTACGATCACAACATCCATTTGCTCCCTCTTTCTCCTCACTGGCTTTAAGGAAGTAAGTGGCTACACTAGGGAATGTCAGACAGCAAGGGATAATAAAACATCCCAGAGTCAAGAACACAGTCCCCCCTGCAAGGATTCCCACTGACACCTTGCGCACAGTAAGACCGTCAATGAGACAATCCCCGTAGCTTTGAAGCCACAAGGACTCGGATTCTGGCAAATGCGAGAACTCACCAGTGGACCCATCTCCAGTTAAGCCGCAAACGAGACCACAGTGTCAGTCGGCACCCACGTTGTAACCTCGTGGGACATGAGGCAGAAGACTCAGAGTGTGTCTAAACTCTTGACCCAAAGGAACTGCAAGGTGACAAGCCACCACTGGTTTAAGCCACGGTATATATGGTTTTCTTGCTCCACCATGAAGACAAAAAATTGGCATCACACACTTAGCTAGCATCTGCTACAATTGCACGGTGTCTCAGATGCAATAATGGGCTCCGGATATAGGATATTACTTAGCGTTCATCATTCACTATAAATATGACCTGCCAGGCGCATCCCCACACATCCTTTATGCCCTTGTTCTACAGACACCAAACAACCCTGTGACAGCAACCGGAGCAAGCACAGCACTTCTCCCATTGATCTCATTTAATGATTTCTCCCATAAACTATTTCTCTTTAGCAAGATGAAATGCTCATGACAAAAACAACCTTATTTATTGTAACCATTGTGCCTAAATATGCAATCACCATTTTAATAAAGTTACTGATGAGGCTCAAGGTTTCTGAAAGAAGTCTGAGACATCTTCCATTACCAAAGGACAGACTTAGGATCCAGCCAGGCTGGCTGGACAGATATCAGAACATAAAATGAAGCAATTTGTCAGGCTTCAGATCAATGTTTGCCAGAAATCTTTGGGTGACCTAGGTAGGGCATACAAGAAATATCATCTTTTAATGAAATAGACCATTCTGAATGTAAATAGCAAGTTAACATGGTGAGCATATGCATTGCATATTGTGGTTAAGTAATTCTATATTTCTGTAGTGGAATAATTGGAACTGTCTTGGTTTTTAGCAACTGTGGATTTTGTGGTTAATAATGTTGTCTAGTCTCGTTATAACAGTTGCTTGGGTGTACATTTGTCTGTGTAGGTGATTTATACACAAGTTACAGGTCACCAAGAGTTAAACCACAGGGATCTGTGAGACTGCCCAGCAACAGGTGTCACACACACACTCCCTTTTCCAGTTTCCAGCTTTTCTTGTGAGTCACAAAACTACTTCTATCACATAAGTAAACAGTGAAATCCGGTTACTGACACTAGAGATAATTTCTATAATGGGAAATGAAGGCAGGAATTCCCTTGCTACATAGAAAAGGTAAAAAAAAATAGCCTTTTGAAGTCATTTCTGACTTTTATGTCATTTTTTGTTTATCTAATATTCGTTTTATGCCACATGGGTGTGCTTAAGTGTACATATGTGCAGCATGTGCATGTCTGAGTCTGTCAACGTCAGAAGAGGGCACTGTTTCTCCTGAAACTAGAGTTACAGGTAGCGGCAAACCACCTCGTGGGTGCTGGGAACCAAATCCAAGTCCTCTGTAAGAGCGGTAAATCCTCTAAACCATTGAATTATTTCTGCAACCTCACCTCTGATATGACATTTTTTTAGGATCAGTGCTATATATTTTTAAAGATTTATTTCATTTTCATTGTGTGTGTGTGTGTCTATGTGGAGTACTACTCACATGAGTGCTAGCGTCTATGGGAGCCAGAGAGGGTGTTGTCTCCCATGGAAGTGGAGTCAGAGGCACTTGTAAACCATCCAGCATGGTGCTGGAAATGGAACCCAGCCCCCCACCCCACCCGAGAGCAGCGTGTGCTTTTAACTGCTGAGCTGCCTCCCAGACCTCACTGTGCGCGTTATTGTGAAGTTGATTACTTTCCCCAAATCCAAAGCTTTCTATTGGAGCTTTCCTTCCAGCTTATATTGTTCTTAAATTCATTCCTTGTATGCTACTAGTATTTTATTACCTAAAAGTATTGTGTGTCTTCTGACAGTAAATAAAATCATGATCATAAGACTTTGTGTGTTTGAAAAGCAGGCAATTACAGAGCTACTCAGTAAATAGGTGATAAGATCACAGGGCTTTACAAGCAAAGGCTGCTACCTTGATGTCTGCCTCTTATAGCCAAAATATCGTCTAACCTTTAATCACAGCTATTTGTCAGCCAAATAGATGGTGCACTGTTCTCCAATTAAAATATGAGATGATATCATGTTAATTCGGAATCCATTCTCATTCCTACATCTTTATTTCTCTTAATAGGGGTTATTAATTTGTTGTTCAGGAGAGGACTAAAAATAATACTGCCTGCAATGACTAATGTTGAGAAGAGGCCAGGTGTATCCTCTGTGGCCAAGAGTGCAGGCTGGAATCAATGGCTTTGATAAAGTCAGCAGTAAGGCTGGAGAAGCACTAATCCTCCTGGATCTGGTTGCTCTTCCAGGGTCTGTGATAGGAGAGACGGGGGAAATGGTAATATCTGTGTACAGATTTGTCCATCACCAGGTCCTTCACCATAAAGACAGACAATGAGAATACAGACAGTCACGTTGTAAGATATGTGAACTCTAAGTCTTCTTATAACAAAACAGTATGAGACTAGCACAAGGGAATTAAAAAGTAGATAATAACAGAAGAGGTTTGAGGTTAAGAGGAAAGTGGAGACTAAGAACCAAGGAAAGAAAAGCCAGGAGCAGCTGATTAGGCTTGTCCCCGCTGCGGAGATAACAGGTAATTTCAGCATGGCGGATCACTGGTTTCACCTCTGCCAAATGTGTTTTACGATGATAACATCAGCTAATGGTGATAGCCATGTTAGCCCAGTCATAGATTTACCGTGTAGCACTAGAATGTGGCCAGCATCTAGACCCGGGACAAGTTGGTGACAAGAGCGTTATCTTCCCTGAGCGGTATTCTCCTCAGAGGACATCGATTTAATGAGGGAACAACTTTAAAGCTGTTGCTGACCTTGGAGTCAAGAACCCTCTCAGAGGCTGGGGACGATAGGAACTCCACTGAATCTTATTTTTGCACTAAACAGTCATTAGCAGGCTGACAAACTTGGAGAAAGCTCAGTCCCCCAGAAGTGTGCGCACACACGACTAAGATGACACCATCAGAGCCACACTTCTGGTCTCTCCTGCAGAACTCGTGGCAGGACCACACCCTGTAAGCCAAGGATGTTGGGCAAACAGCGTTTCACTCAGGATGACAAAGGTTGTCTGCCTTAGAAGAGGTGGCATGGCACAGAGGTGGACATGGCCCCCGAATGGAGAATTAATCGTCGCTGTCAGAAGCCGATGAGCACTGGGGATTTCTGTGACTGTGGTACAATCCAGTACACTCTGACCAATACAAGAGACATCTGAAGAAATGTGTTTCAGAAAAATGATCAGAGACGCTAGATGTAATAAATCAGAAATTTAACATATTTTTAAAGCCTATGCAGGCATAAAATCCCTACAGAAACTAAAAAAGAATTAACACTTTGAGTCATGATTATCAGGAAATAAGAGTACTCAGTAAATTTTATAGTGTCTCAACAAGAGAAGATAAATCCTTAGAAATCTCCCAAGTCTTTAACTAAGAGGAAATTTTAAAGTAATGTGTTTATCAAGTGGTGAAACTGTGTTTGTAAAAGGAAACACGTATTTTCTATTCTCACATTTAAAAGAATCTGCGAGCATCCCTCAGTAATAATTACCAGATCGAGGGCCAAGACAATGAAAATATAAAGTAGTCATATACACGCGGTAGTGCCCAAAGGTGAGAATGTGTTTAGTAAAGAAACAGGCAGATTAAACAGCACCAGAGGGGTAAGAGCCACACCCTAAGGGCTCCCGAGGGCTGCATCTGACACAGTTCCTACACCAAGACAGACAGCATGCTGTCTGCTTGCAGCTCAAGGAGTCAGGAATGCCCACGACTCCACACATTACAAACGATGATGGAAATTAAATCATTCTGATGCCACGTAGATGCCTTGGGCCTCTGATCTATCATGTTTCAAATGTCCCCACTCCAGGAAGAAAAGAGTAGACAGCTATGGAGGAAGGGCTGTTCTGCAGAACACTGGGCGGGCTGGGATCCATTGAGACTCTCAAGGTCATGAAAAGCAAGGCAGGGTGGTGAATTAGCTCCACTGGATGAAGAAAGGCTAAGAACATTGGTGAAGCATATCTTTGTGTGTGTGTGTGAGAGAGAGAGAGAGAGAGAGAGAGAGAGAGAGAGAGAGAGAGAGAGAGAGAGAGAGAGAGAGAGAGAGAGAGAGAGAGAAACTTCCTAAAGAATAATTAACTGAAGTGGAAACACCTATTCTGAACACAATCAACACCGCTCCATGAGCTGGGCTTCTGGACTGACTAAGAAGCAGAAGGTGAGCGGAGCAGCCAGCCTGTATCCCTCTCTGCTTCTCGACTGTGGATGCCACGTGATCAGCTGCCTTAAGCCCCTGCCAAGACGTCCCTTCAGCGATGGACCATCCCCGCCCAAACCGTTACCCCAAACAGACCATCCACGCTGAAGTGACTTTGTTTTGTCACATCCATAGGATAGGTAGCAATCACGTAAAGAATGGGCAAGGCTCTGTCCTGTAGCAGTGTAAAGTGACGGTAGTGTCAAGTTTGCAGTGTAATATCTTGGGCTGAGTTATGCAGCAGGAAGACAATGTAACTGAAACAAGCCAATGCCAGGGCTGGGGCGATGTCTGCAGGTGAGGTCCCAATCCATGCAAGTGTGAGCCCCTGACTTCAGAGCCTCGATGCCCATGTAAAGTCTGGGTGTGAGTGTGAACCCATGAACCCAGCACTGGAGTAGAGGGGACACAGGTAGAGAGATCCCAGAAACTCACTGGACAGCTGCACTACTGGTTGAGTCAGTGAGATCCTGGTTTGGTGAGAGACCCTGCCTTAAAATACAAGATGGGGAGTGGTTAACATAGACCCCTGCGCTCTACGGGTCATACACACATGCACACACATGAATGCATATGGACGGCATAAGATCGTCTGAACTGGACCTGCTTTTAAAAACCAATAAAAAATATTTTATTTTACAGGTCTAACCTTTTCCCAATTGCCCGCCTGTGATCTCAGCATCTGGGGAGCGTAGGCAGAAGATCGGGAGTGCTGAGTCATTCTCTAGGACATAGCAAATGCAAGACCAGCCTGGCCTATGTGGGACCCTGCCTCAAAAAAAAGAAAAGGCTTAATTACAAAAGGAGTTTAAAATGGAACCATTCAGGCTTTCCCTGCCTTGTGCCTCCAGGTCTACCAGACATCACCCATTGTATTTCTTTGTGTAACTAGCCTGTCCCCCAAAAGGCAGCTTCTGAGCTTTTCACTCTGCCACCTGCTGGGACAAGGAGTTCAAAGAGAATGGAGTCATGGGCGTGTGTGAATGCGCGTGGCTGGAGATAAAAGCTCACGTTCAAATTTCAGAATCAATTGTGAAGCTACATTGTAATGGCCTGATTACAGGTCTCTTGAAATCAGGGACTGATGCCTATTGAACTTAATCGTACACGAGCATCAAACAATTAAACTATGTAAGAGCTTCTGAGGCCTGGGCAAATTTCCTTGTCCTTTGCATTTGATCAGCCTGCACGCAACCGTGTCTAAGAAGTAGTCTATTCAGCGAGGAGATGAACGGAGGTACTGCGGGGCATCGGGCCTGTGGTTTGCCACGGGCACTCCAGGGCAAGCTGAGAACGAAGGGAACCCACACCCACACATCCTCTCCATTGGAAACTGTCACCTTCTGAGATCTCACAGTGCAACATAGCGACATCAAGCACCTAGACCTTTCTGGAAGCGTCCGGTCACTCATACCTGGCATTCTACTGGCTCTCCAGGAGCCTGTGCTGCACTTGGTGATGCCCACGATGTGATGTGAGTGTCTTTCAACTTTCAACTTCATTTCGAGCCTTGATTTTTTTTAAATACAACTTAAACACTAAAGCGCACATAGATAAACGGAAAGACGTTTCCTTTTTGTACATGTTGGAGTCTCCTGAATTTTACACTCAAGATGTAGTGTTGCCATTTAAAGGCAAAGAGTGAAGTCGAATTGACACTTTGAGTCACAGGCAGCAGCATCCCCGGTCTTGGGTGGTATTTACTGCTCTGGCAGATTTCAAGCCCCCACCCTCTTCTCTAGGGTCTGTTTATGATGCCTTCTCCTTTATTACAACCTGTCTGATCATTCCCCATCCTAGTCCAAGAAAAACAAAGAGACCGCTTCCTTAGTTCTTTCTTTTTTTTTATGTTGTATGTCACTTCTACCAGAGATACACAGTTACACACACATGACTTTGTCCCAGACCAGATGGACTTCTTAACATTCCTGTTCACTTTTAGGACACCTTTCACACCCCTTTGTCCTTGGAAGGAAAAAGAGAGACTGGTGAATGCTATGACTTGTTGCAACCCAACCCTTTGAGCAAAAGTGTGTTGACAAACCCCACATCAAACACCGTTCGGCATGGCTTCACTTGCTCCGGGAGACCGTGTTTGGAGAATGTCTGATAAGCCTCACCAAGAAGCCATCACACGCCTCGGGATCTCGCAGAATTATCTCAGCCTACAGAGATCTCATCCTGCACTTGCAGTGAGGCGCGTCGATAAAGTCAGACCCCAGTGTGGGCTTTGATTTGGGGCCCCGGCTGATGACAGCTGAACTGTTGATTTAATACATTTTGTGCAGATAAAGGTGAGGGTTGGCAACCACACAGCTGTCTTCACAGGTGAGGAGACAAAGATCTCCGACATGCTTATTTCTCACAGCCCAGGTCCCTGACCTGGGCCTGGAAACACATCAAAGGCCACACCTTCCCTTCTCAGGCACTCCCCCAGCCCTTGCTCCTCTCCTGATGGTAGCTCCTCCTGCACCTCTCACCAGTCAAACAATGAGGCTATTATGCTCCCTGGAGAAGAGAACCAGGGTAATTACCTTCCCGGCCAGGTGCCAGGAGTAAGTTTCCTTGTGTGCAATTATTGTGTGGTAAAACGGCCGAGGCCATGTTTTTAAAATTTGTTTTCTTTTCTTTGTTTTCTTTTCAGTCACTGAAGACCAGGTTGCAAGACACTGGCCCCAAGCCCCGGCATCAACCACAGGCTCACAGCCTTCTTTAGAACCTGGGTTTGGTTGTCTTTCACTTTCTCCCAGCGTGGAGTCTTATCATATTATAATTACAGCCCCACATGAGTGTTGATAAACAAGGCCAGCTCAGCAACAGTGCAGAGCGAGGAGTAATCCCCAAGTTTCTACCTAAGCAGCCAAACCCATGTTGTTTTCAACAGTGACGGGCTTGGGTGGAGTGACAGAGATCAGAAAGACCTCTGATTGGCACAGATGGAGCAAGGACAGTGTCATTAGGAGGGAAATGCGGACAGGGGTGAGGCCTTTGATCTTCTGATTATCGTATCTACAAATCTCCCCATAGGCCTTCTCCATCGGCCAAAACAGACTTAAGAAACAAAGAGTACCCAGTCCTGGTTGTAGGGATGGGTGCGCGTTGTGCAACTCTTACTTGTTTGGGGCTATCCCCCCAATGCTTTTATTCCTACTTGACACTAATAATTATGACCAAGAATTAAAAACTACCTTATACATGCTAGACTTAAACACACATATTATCTGCTACTCTGACAAGAAGGTATTGTTAATTCTGTTTGATGAGAGATCTTGAAGACTAGCAAGATTGATACTGCAATATTGATTATTGAAGCTAAGTGTGGCATAAGAGACAGAGAGAGGTCCGTTTCATTCCAAATTTTAAATTCTCAGCCACTCTACTACACCAAGATTCCCTCCCCATGCAAGACAATAGGAAGCAATAGTGTGAGCATCAGTTAGAGCCCTGGGTGATAGCATATCTTCACTGAGGGCCTCTGTCACTTAGCTCACGAACTGAACAGCAGGAACGGCCTGATTTGTTGGGACCTCTCCAGGCCTAGAAGGTTCGAAATGGCTGTCAAAGTGACCATAGGATGTCCAGATAGACATCATTTCAGGATGATCTGTAAGGGGCTTGCAGGATGAGACTAGCTTTGGGATTGTCACACACTATAAGCCAGCCTTCCCTCCTTAAGATGAGCAGACACCACCCTGTGGAGGGGCTCAGTAAAACATCACCCATCCTTTCTCATCCCGTCCTATTCCATCCCGTTCTGTCCCTTCCCATAGTATCCTACCCACTCCAATTTTCTATCCTTACATCTTATGCCATCAGCTGTCACACGGTTCTAAATGCGGACTGAATTAAACACAGGTTTGCCTTTGGCCTCCAACGTTCAGATGGAAAGTTACTAGGGGACTTCATGGGTCGTTCCTCCTAATAAGACTTCTTTCAGATAAATATACCTCTGCTTGATTCTGTTTCTCTGGAGACCCCTGGCTAATGCATCTGGCAAGTTTTTAAATGATTAAAGAATTTAGCCCTTCAACAGTATGAACCTGCAGATTGCTAGAAAATTTCACTCTTTACCCCACTAGCTATTTTCTTGGACCCAGTTTACAAGCTTGCATGGTCTTCACATTAGACAAAGGCAAGACCACAAGGCCATGTCAAGATGACCATTCCATCTTGTTTGTTACCTAGAACAGCTTCTACAGACATGGATGACCACTTTATTTTACTGAATACTGGGCGTCTAGATTCATTTCTATGTTGAACGCTGGCCCCAATCACTGCAGGTGCAGGGAAGATTAGTGTTCCGCAGAAAATAGACGAGGCTAATTCCCTACGTAAGAGTGTTTCAGACTCTATGAGTTAAGAGTGATGGGGAGGGGATGGACCAGACACAGAGTGTGGGCTCCCTCCAATTTCTAATTCAACTGAAAATCCTCTGGGTCCATGCTTTCTTTTACCACCATGTATAGCATGGGGTTTAGCCCTTATAGATTCTTGGCTTCTTTACACACACACACACACACACAGAGAGAGAGAGAGAGAGAGAGAGAGAGAGAGAGAGAGAGAGAGAGAGAGAGAGAGAGAGAGAGAGAGAGAGAGAGAGAGAGAGAGAGAGAATGTGCTCTGGAATCCTTAAAGTGATATTGCAGGTAGCAGTCTTTGGGAAGTAGTTATGATTTAGATGATGTCACGAGGGTGGAGCCCCATGGATGGGTTTAGCATCCTTGTAGGATGCCCCCAGAGACTTGCTTCCCCCTCTCACAACGTGCAGACACAATGGAAAGAAGACTGTTGGTTGGGGCTAGCCCTCATCAGACAGCCATCTCTCAAAGCCTTAATCACAGATTTCCTGGGCTTTCAAATTGTAAAACAGGCTTTCTTTTAACAATTTTTAGCTGCATAGCCTATGGCATTTTGCTACAGCACCCCAAACTGACTATGGCATGAACATGTTTTCCCGTGTTCATCCCCCCCTCCATCTCCATGTCTCTGTGCCTCTGTCTCTTTTACCTACACATATATAATCCCTGGATCATCAGCACAAATCAAAATCTCACCGTGTCACTTTCTCTTTTACAAGTTATATGCGTATTACTTGGAGTTGAAATTCAGAGGCATGTTATGCTACAGCCTGGAGAATTAAACTGAAACAGTCGCTTCTGCTCACTGAAATCCCCCAGGCTTGTGTGTGATGTTTTTCACCCCTTTCTTCCCACTCCCTGCCACCCATCTCTCCACCCCTAACCTCCCTCACACCACCTCCCTCACACCGGGAAAGAGCCGCCGAGCTCTCTCCTTGTCCATTTGTCTTCTGCTTCCAGGCTCCCCCACCCCTCCGCCTGACAGTCTTTGGAAGTAGGAAAAATTTTATAGTCACATTTACACAAGAAAAAAAATGAAAGGACTCACATATTGATATAGTCCACAGTAGAGCAACACCAAGTAATTCTCCACCAATCTTGGTAATCAGAACTAATTAATTAAGAATTAAGGCGTGTAGATTAGTCCAGGAAAAATTAAGTGGCTCTTCATCTTACCAAAGGATCTTTGCCAAGCTCACAGCTCAGCCTAATCTGGTAAAGAGACTGTATAATGCTCCCATCTACAATGTTAGTCCTCAATAAATTACAAGAGAAGCAGTTTGTTGGCAGTTTTTAATTAGCAAGAAGAAGACGGCCACATCAAGGCTGAAATCTTAGCCTGTGAAGTGCTGTCTGAAGCCAGTTAAGGCAGTGTAGGATGCTGGTTAGAACCTGGTAGGGCTGGAAAGGCAGAAAAACATGGGAATGAGTTTTGGCTTGGTCACCTACTACATAGGCAATTGTCGCAACTCATTATGTCTGCCAAAAAGATAAGCTCAAGCCTTTGCTCCCAACACCTCTGCATGGAATATTATTTGGAAATAAAGTCTGGGCAGATGTCATCAATTTCAGATGAGGTCATCAAATCACCCATTACATAATGGATGGTCTTATATAAGAAGAGGGAGTTTCGTATATAAACGCACACACAGAGAAGATAGTTACGGGCCACAAAGACACATATAGAAGCACATCATGTGACTCTAGAGACAGAGGCCATGGAGACCCAATACAGGTCAAGAGTTCCAGGAATTCCTGTCCACTCCTGGAAAGTAGGAAGAGGCAAAGAGAAAGCCTCAGAGGGAGCCTGGCCCCGTCCTTAGTTGTCTTGAGACATCTAGCTTCTAGAACTATGACATAACACATTCCTGTTGTTCTCAGAGACCCAATTTCTTGCACGTTGTGGTGACACAACACCTAGTCTGAGGTGAGGTAATGACAGCCCCAGGAAAACAATGCTGTCAATATCTCCGTTGATAATACCACTAGTGACTGTACTTCCCTAGTGAGTGTGTTCTGTGGACTTGAAGAGCAAATGTGTGTGTTGCATTCTTCTCACGGTTTCTGGCCCCCATTGCCTGCTCTACACATGTGGTTTTATTAACACGTGTCAGCTACCATCACACAATTAACTGAGACCCCTGTGCTTCTAGTAGCTAGAGTTTTAATTCTCTCTCTCAACCTATATATGACAACCGTCTCTGCAATGACCATCTTGACATTTCAGCCTATGAAGCTGGTCACAATTGTACATTTGTTAGCTTAGATATAAAAGCATCAAATAAACAATTTTGTATACACAGCTATAAAATAACTGGATTATAAGGAAGGAGCCGTCTCCTTGAGCCGTTGGATGTCACCTTGATGCCGTCTTTACCTACACTACTGTTACCCAGAATCTTGTCAAATGGAATCCTTAATCATCAAGGGCTGGCCCCTTGAGACTTGTAAGCTCCCCTATTTGTGTTTGGTAGCCATGGAAACAGTCTTTGGCCTTGATACTGTTGACCACACCCTGCTCTGACAACAGGAGCCAGTTTATGTCCTTGCTATGTCCTGCACTTCCAATTCTCTGTGATTTCTTCATTTTCTAAAATAAACATGCATCATTATAACAATTGAAAAGGAAACACATTATTTTGGTAATCTATTATCAGTAGCTAAGCAAAAATAAAATGGAAGAAGAAGCCATCATAAATCACAGGTCCTAAATCCACTTCAGTGATTTATTTGAAAATGGTGACAGTCCTAAAGACCCCCCTGCCAATGCTTTCATCGGCACTAAAGAGTGTAGAAGGCTGCATCATTCCTTTGTCCTGAGGGGAGTTCCCAGCCTGACCCATTTCTCTCTATCTGGGGGACAGTGTCGGGATAAATGGTCATGAACTCAAGGAGACCTGGTCTCGACTTTATGAGGTTCTGACCTTCCACTTTGTAACTGAACCAAGTAGACGCCAGCTTGTGAAGTGTTTTCCCATGATCCCAAGGCTGGTTCTCTCCTAGATGCTCTGTCATTGTTGCCCTGGTGTGAGTTGACCCCACTGACATGCTTCCCATGAACAGAGCACAGCAAAAGCCACAAGAATCCACACCCAGGACAGGTTATAAAACCACATGACCGCTGTTAACTCTTCTCTTATTGTTTCAGATGGAAGGCCGGTGCCACCCTGGGAATTGCTTGACGGACAGGTCACTTGGCAGAGACTGAGGGTGGCCAGACAGCCACCTATGAATGTCTTCAAAGTAGACCTATTCTTAGTTGAGCCTTCAGGTGCTTCGAGCCCCGGTGACACTTGGCTGGCATCTTTGGAAGAGGCCCTAAGCGTGTGAGTCACTCAGATTCCCGAATCTCAGAGACACTGAGCCAGTGTGTGGCCCTGTTTGTGACACTCCGCCAGAATGTACACACAGCACTAGGAAACAGTGCCGAGCAATGCACACCCCTCCAGGCATCCCTCATGGCTTTGTCCCAACCCTTCAAGACGGTCACATCGGCAGTTCCAGCGCATTTTGCTAGACACAGGTGCGGACCACATCTGCTTAGCAGTCTTTTATGACTCATCAACTTTAATTTTCTGTTTGTTTTTCTCTTGCTCCACACATTTCTTTAGCTCCTGTAGAATCCCTGTTGTCTCTGCAAGGATGGGTTTGTGTTTCCCACACTCTAGCTGGAGTAGTGTGTGTATTTCACAGCAAATTCCTAAAGATAAAGTCGATGTAATCTTTTACCTTACTTTGCTCAATTAAATTGTTCAGAAGGCCAAAGCAGTATAGACACTGTGGTATTTAACATTTGAATACTGGTGTTGTACACCATTTTGGGAAGTACCTGTCCTTGACATTGATCAAGAAAACACTTTTTTGTTGTTGTTGCTAATGTACTCAATTTTTGTTTGTTTTTGTTTTTGGAGAGAGGATTTCTCTGTAGCTTTGAAGGTTGTCCTGGAACTTGCTCAGTAGACCAGGCTGGCCTCAAACACATAGAGATTCACCTGTCTCTGCTTCCTGGGTGCTGGCATTAAATTCATGGGCCACTACTGCCCAGCATATACTCAGTTTTTATAGTGACCGTGACTAAAAAGACAGCTCACTATTTAAAAAAAGAATCACACATGTGTGACATGTCACTAGGTAAGGTGCTTATGAGGCGAGCATGAAGATGTAAGTGTGGACCGCACAGCATCCGTGTGAAGAAGCCAGGGATGGTGCTGTGTACCTGAAACCCCAGTGCTGGGTTGGAGGGGACAGACACTCATCGATCCTGGGACCTTCAAGTTCACTGAGACATCGTATCTCAAAAAACCAAAACCAGCCAACCAACCAAATGGTGGAGATGCAACAGAGGCGGCCGTCCCTCCTTTAGCTTCCAGCCTCCGCACCTGCCTTCACGGGCGAGCACGCCTGTGCACACAGCTGCACTCTCTGGCCCTCCCCTCCCCCTGTCTCCCGCGCTCTGCAGAGGCCCAGCCGGGCATCGCACTCTGATGGGAAACAAGGCGGCTGCTTTCCCCATCAGCTCCCCTCGTGGGTCCTCAGCTCCTTCCCTATGGAGCTTAAGTCACTGCAAACGGGTTCTCAAAACTG